CATGCTCCTTATCTGTATTCTTTTCCCAGTTCACCCCGTTTTCCTTCTTGGCTCTCAATTCCACTCTCCTCTCCTTGGCTCTAAGCCCTGTCAGCCTCCAGTTCTAGTCTCCCCCAGGTTCCTTGTCCTAATCTTCTTCTACGTCCTCCCACCCTGGTCTGGCACTTGCAGGCATCCTAAAGGACAAAGAAACAGCTGCTTAGGCCTAGACTGGAGCATGCCCAGCGTGGACAGAATATTTGCAGACCGTAGCTGCAAAGTTTCTACTAAGCGTGTGCAAACTGCAGGTTTTTTGTTTTTGTCCCCCCAAGGGTTGATAACTTGGGCAAAATTGGGCAGATTTTGAAGAGGCTGGCAATAGGCACATCCCTAGCACAAAGGCAACCCAGTGCCAAATGTCAGGTTCCTGCTCCAGAACATGAGAATGCTATAGCTTCTCAAAGAAAAGGTCCTCCAGAATTTAACATGGGAAAACTTTTTTTCCTTAGTCTTGTTCTCAGAACAGCTGAACCATTTTGGCTGAAATTTCCCAGAACAATTCAACCTCAAGCAGACACCTGGCATGTAAAATTTCAACCCAGAGAGTTAATTTTGGCAAATTTTATAAGCAACTGAAAACACTTACTATGAACTGTGGGAAAACTTGAACAGGAAGAGCTGCCAGCCTTGCCTACAGTGTCAGCAGGCATTTTGTGACTTAACTCTTTTTCTTTCCTCCTACAGAGTTGGTGTATTGGAGGACACCTTCACCTGTCTTGGTGTCTTGTGTGCCATCGTATTCTTTCCAATTGGAATTCTGTTTTGTCTTGCTCTGAGGCAACGAAGATGTCCTAACTGTGGGGCAACTTTTGGTTAAGGGATCAACCTGAACAGGCTTATAGAGGCCACATCTATTGTAGTACTTGTTTCTAATGTAAATGTCATGTACAATCATTTTATCTGATTATGCTTCAGACCTGTTTTGTAAAGTGTGATGAAATTATAGTCTTGCATGTGATAAACTTAATCAGTTTTATGAGCATGTGCATTGCAAAACATGAAAACCCATCTTGTTTCCATGTTTAATGGCATCTTTAAACTTAAATAAAACTGCTTCTCTTTTTGCAATCTTCACAATTTGTGGCAAGGCTGAATCTTGTATCAAAATATTCGTTCATGTCAGCTGGTTCTGTGTATGCACACTTTCGCCATGTACCTTTTGTTAAAAAAAGCTAATCACTTAATGTCCTCTGTTAATAGAAAGATTAAAAACCATAAACTTTGTATGCATACAATCATACTAGCTGCAGTGTTGTGACATTCCAGAGGTTTAAAGTAAGAAATCTAAAAGCAGCGATTCTAACCATAGAAGTGATCTATTGTTATGGAGAATATTGGGGCAGGTTGGGACTGAGGACCAGTGCTGGTCAACATTTTTTTCAAATTTTGAAAAGAGTCGAGGGAAAGACTAATTCTCATGTCACCTTCTTGCATTTTTTGACCAACTATAGAGCTGGTCCAAACTTCTTGAAGTCTCAAATCATGTTTTTTAATTTTTGTTTGGACTAGCTCTGACTATATGCTCCACAGGATACAGCAGTACTAGAAACTTATTTCAGGAAGTTAAGATATGTAGAGAGACACTAACATGCACAAGTTGGAAAATTCTGGGGAAGTTCAAGACACCATAAAATATGCTGTTGTACTTTCTCACTTCAAAGACCTGAAGTCTCTTAGAATACTTTACAAGAAGTAGAAAAAAGATACTCATGTCTAACAGATTTTGTTTAACAGAATGGATATTCACAAATATTGAGGTAGAGATAATACAGCAGTAAATGGATCCATTAAGTATGGTATGAAACTAATGGCACTAATTTTTAGAAATACATAACCTAACCTGTCTAAAAGCTTATCTGGCATGATCTGACCTATTTTAATCTCTGAAAAATGGTTGTTTGTAACTTGATATTGGCTCAATCTTGCAATTTTCATTGGCTTGCTAAGCAAGACTGGCAGTTGGACTGAAATAACTGGGGCAATAAATGTAAGGTAAAGTGGAAAAAGCATCAGGTCTTATTTAATAACCTCATTGATATGACTGATTGAAATAATTCTCAGTGCTTGATCCAAAGCCCTTGAAGTCCATGGAAATGCTCCGACTGATTTCAATAGTCGTCTGAAGTTCAGTGGGGGGGAGTAACGACAAATAATATCAAGGAAACAAGACAGATTAGAAACATGAGTGGAAAGTAACAAATCAGATTAAATTTTAGCTTGCATTTTTTCTTTTTTAGAAGAATAATCAAACAATGGGAAGATAAACTGTAAAGAAATGCTGAGATACCTAGGTATGACACCTGCTTTTTGCTACAATATTAAGTAGCATTGCAATTTTTGGCTGCAGAGGCACCTAGTGGAGTCTTAATATTAAATTGTGAGTTCCTCATAGCTAAACATGCAGGTCAGGAGGAGTAATAAAATCAGAGCCAGAGACTCATTTTAATCTTTCCTGAATGTCAGATGTACTTTGGCTAAGAAATGGGGGGAAGAATTACAACTATAAAAAATAAACACATTAAGAATTACTAATAGAGGTACTGCTACTTATAGAATGAGGTCTCATGTAGAGTAATGGGCTAAAATTAAACTTCCCTCAACAGTTTGACAGACATCTTTCAGGTGCAGGTAGAGGACACAGCTACTCTGGACACTAAGCTATTGGGCTCTCCCAGCCCAGCAAAGAACTATCGCTCAGGGCCAGCTTTAGGCTGATTCGGCTGAATTGGGCCCCGCGCCGCAGCTCTCCACCCTGCCCCCAGCTCACTTCCCCCTCCTCTCCCTCCCCTGCTTCCTGCAAATCAGAGGTTCGCGGGAAGTCTGAAAAGAAGCAGGGGCAGGCAGGTAACCCAGGGTGGCGGGGGGCACGAGAACGGCTCCGGGGAGCCACGGCCTAGTCCGGCCCTGGTTCTGGCCCCCACGGCGCGGCTCCGGCCGCCGAGGGGCTCTGGGCCGGACCCAAGCCCGGCGAACACAGCCGGAGTGCGGCTCGATTCCTGGGGGCGGGGCTTGCCGCAAGCCCCACCCCCAGGAATCAGGCCCTGCTATCGCTTACACCAGAATCTTGTCTCAGGACACAAATTTATTTGACACAAAACTCAAAGTAACGTATAACAAAGCTATTTCTCTGACCAAACCAGGCTGCAGGGCCTCTGAGACTTTCCTCTTGCACCTCTCTGCCATGGAAAAAGGAGGATTCACCCTTTGCTTTAAACCTCTGCTGAATCATGTGACAGGCAGGTAGCCCCTTAACCCTTTCCTGATTTTCTTCCTGTCAGACACTGAACACCAGACTTCACAATATTCTTATAAGTAACTACAGAAAAATCTTGCATGAGTGGGAAAGGAGTTAATGGACCAGATTTTAATAGTCTTCTACAGTGATGTATTTTCAAAGGCAGAAGCGCTAATGTCTGAGTGTACTTCATCAAGCTGACTATCTGATAGAGCAACTAAAGCTACCCCTACTGTGTTGCACTTGATAAAAATGTAAGCTATTTTTAAAAGTGCAATGGCTAATCAGTACTGTATTTTATTTGGTGCCTGAAATCAGTAATCCCTGCAGGCAGTGCATTCTCTTGCTTATTAACATACTGTCAGTGTTCAGGCCCATGAAATATACTGTTGCATCCATAACTTTTTAAGACCACCAACTGAGTATTAAAACAGATCAATGAAGCTTACTTCCATTAAATTGTTTGCCTTTTCTTATATAATTTAACCATTTCTGAGAAACTGACACAGGGAATAGACATGTTCAATATTTACAAAACTATACTTTTTATAAAGTACTCTGTACTCCACGAATTCCGAAGTGTTTCACAATTAACTAGAGTGTGGTGGCAATGATTATGTAAGCTCTGTTAATGCTAGCAGAGGGCCTTTACCAATACTCTGAGAGGCAGAGTGAGAGCATTGGTCAGGACATCCACGTTAGCCCCTTCTTTTTTGAAAAATTACAGAAGATATAACTACCTACGACCAGAGATGATGCAGGGCCATCTTTGTACAAAAATACATTGTCAATATTCGGCAAGAGCTTGATTCTGCAACCTTCTAGGTCACAAGTGAGTGTCAGAGATAAGAGGATAAGGCTGCTGATTAACGAAGCTTTAAAATGTTCATGTGGGCCAATGGTTTTTCAAGTGCTATGACATAAGTGGATTATCATATGGTTAGGGAGTCAGACTATAGTCTAATATTGCAGAATTTGGTGCAGCACAGCAGCTTTACATCTGCTGAAATATTTGCCTATTGGCTACTATCAGCCAGGGCAGTTTCTGTTGTTTGTTTTACCTTTCTGCCCGTTTCCCTCAGACTTTTCAAATGATAATCACTTATTTGTTTCATAGTTAGAAAGCTTTGTATACAAATCTCTTTCCAGATCACTGTACCTGACCTTTCAAAGTAGAGCAAATATCCATGAGTACAAATCCACAATCTTACATTTGTATAGCGCTTTTAATGCTGAAGGATTGCAAAGCACTTTACAAACTAGATATAAGAATTACTTTACCTAACTCTGAAATTTTAGCTATTTACAGCATACAGAAACAATACATACCAATTTCTCAAAGGGAGTGACGAAACATGGTATCCAAGTGATCCTACCTTCCTCTTGCAGTAACACAAAGCAAAATGTAATACTCAAGTTAGAATTGGACCAGTACCCTGGTGCAGATTTCCCTACTCTTGCAAAACATACAATGGGATTTTAATGACCAAAAGTAGTCAAATCTGTGTTTTACATATCTGGGAAATGGCACCTTGACAGTACGGTGCTGCTTAGAACTGTGGTGGATCACTGGGTCAACAGAGTTAGAGTGAAACAGACCATTCAGTAGGTGGCTACTGACCTTTCAGCACCAGGGTTTTTCCTTGGTCATTACTTACCGGAAATTAGAAGGCCCAACTCTGCCTCTTCTAGGAGATTAGACTCTGGGGCAGTAGGGTGATAGGGGCTCAAAGTATCAGTATCACCATGATTAGAACTCAGTTTTCTGTGGTCAGACCACCAAGCCTGTAACATTGTTATTAAATATAAGGATATAATACCCCTTTAAATACAATGTTCAGAACAATCCTGCAGTGGCAGGGGGATGGACAAGATAACTGAATTTCTGTGACTTAAAGGGGCACTGTTTACTTAGCTATAGGCAACACAATGTTTACTTATATTACTACCATCACTTAGGATTATTAAAAAAAAAATTAAAAATCCAATTTACTTTTCACATTTCTCTAATTATGGACAAAAGTAAATTGTCAGTTTCTGAGTGCTGCAATCTTTGGGATACAGAGGGGGAATGTTTGTTTAAAGACAACTGTTTGCACGGGAATTTGAAGAAAAATTGTGGCAACATTGTTTAATGATTTTTTTTTTATAAAACAAGTTTTTGACAAATTTCAGTAGACATGGTCCTCTTAAGGATAGTACTGTATTGCAAATGGGTGTCTCCCCCCCACCTTTAAATAGTTATTTCATTAGAACAATAATACTCCTTTTTCAAAGTAGAACATTACTGACCTAAAAGTCAGACTTTGTATAATTTTAGTAGCTTTATGCTGACACTTCAGATCAAATAATTTGCATTTTAACATCAAGCAAAGCATACTAAATTTGTCTAAGCTCATAGAGGATAAATATTTATTTATAACCTAAGGCATCTATCTTAAACAAAACAATGCAATACATAATCATTTTATACAGTCAAACTTCTACTCTTAGTATTAAGGCAACAGTTGCATTGTTCCTTTTATTAAAAAAATGAAGTTTTTTTTCTTTTATATATCTACTAAACAATATATGCAGACTTAAACACAAACTTATCCATGGTATTTTCCATCCAACAGATAGAGAGCATTTTGATAAAATATTAAGTATGCAGGTAACTACAGTATTCAAACTTCCCCCATACTTTCACAACTGTCTTTCTTCCTAAAAAAGGCATGTAGTGTAAAATCAAGCCAAAATTCTCAAACATTTTAACCCAGAGCAATTACCTCATTTAGAAAGCAGATGGATTGTTAAAATCAGAAATCCACTCCAATCTTCTCCTACTGTACACTAATTACATTTAAATAAACAGCCTTTGTAAATCATATTGCTGAACATAGTGTTTACAGGGAGTAAAAATATTTTCATGAATATTATATTCATCGAATTATTGGTGCTGATCTGTCATTTGTTACTGTTGGTCGGAGTTTCACAGTGGTAAAAGGATTTTCTCCGCTGTGAAAAGAAATATAAAATTACTACAGCTGTGAGGGCAAGACAAGGTATATGAGTAGCATGACTAAAAAGTAACGCTCATAAGCTACCATTCAGTAAAACACTTAAGTACGTACTTGTGCTTATGTGCTTTACTGAATAAGGATGGATTTAAGTATATGCTTGAGTACTTGGTTGAATGGAGGCCATCGTCTGCAGGCACTTGTTTCAGGGAGTTATTTGGATTTTGTTCCCAGGTTGAATTTTTAGTACACAAATTTCTATCTATTCAAAATACACAAGGAATTAAATGCTGCAGTAAAACTGTATTGTGCAACAATTTAAGACTAAAATTTACATTTCCTTCTCTGCACTGACCCTTACGTGAAGAATAAAATGAGTGTTTCAACTACAAGACACTTTGCAATTATTTTTTAACATAACTAGAATGAAAAATATTTTTATGGCTTCAGTTTGAGGGCTCTTAACAGAGCAAAGCCTTTTTCATGCGTATAGCCCAAGGAGCTTTCACTTTCCATATCTGGGACTTCCTTAAAACTGGTTGAAAGAGGAGTGATGTTCTCATTGCTTTTTCTTTCCAATCCTTTATGTTTTCTGTTTGACCCCAAACTAAGAGCCTGACCCTGCTGCCTTTCATGTAATGGGAAAAATCCCATTGACTTCATTGGGGCTAATTTCCCTTATTTTGCCACAGAAGGGACCCACTGTGCTTGGCGGGGGGGTATATGGCTACACTACCATTAAAAACCTGTGGCTGGCCTGTGCCAGCTGATGCAGGCTCGTGCTAAAGGGCTGTTTAATGGCGGTGTAGATGTTCAGACTTGTGCTGGAGCCTGGGCTATAGTTCCCTGGACCCCACAGTGTTTTTAATTGCAGTGTAGACATGCCCTAAGAGTCTTCATAGGGGATCATCAGCCTGCTCCTAAGTGAAAGCCCGGTTTGTAATGTGTGCCTTGCTTTTTTACTGCTGCCCAGTTGGAGAAACTGCAAAATGGACACCTATTTTCCTTTTAAAGACCAACTACTACTACATTAGCCTGTTATTTTAACATACGCTAAACAAAACATACCTTAGGAAAGGTGGTTTTATAATGCCATTTATAACAGGTTTCTGCAAAGGAAAGAAAGGCTGTTATACAGGTTACCACATCAATTCTGAAAATTGTTTAGAAAGATAAGCTACCTGCTTGCAGTTGTTTGATAGTCAAGAATAAATTTATATTTAAACAAATTATGTATTCCCAACATTCACTATTCCACATTATTTGGCTGCACAATGAAATACTCAGCCAATAGGAAGGGACAATAGCAGTTCAAATGCAGAGGGATACGGAGAAGAAAAACCAGTAAGACCAATGCTTGAATATCAAACGTAGAAAATTAAATAAAAAATCAAATACATGGAGACCCACAAAGATCTTCACTGTAAAATATTACCCTTCTATTGTTTTCAAATGTAAGGTCTGCATGGGTTACCTGCATGTAATTGCTAGTTGAGCATATAGATCAAATCAGGAGTTATAAAAACACATGGGAACAAAAACATTAACCAAATAAGTAAAAGAAGATTCTAAAATAGGCTGGGAGAAATCTACTGATCTGACAGGTTAAGAATCCCAAGATGTTATATCTATCTATCGTAGCATATTACAATTCATTCCTTATGAGCCTCATTACTTGCAGCAGTCATTAACATAACACACAACTTGTAAAATGCTAGTGATTACAATAAGACACCAATGCATGAATGGCTGGTCTGGACGTGCTCAGTTGTAAGAATGCAAATACATATTTTAGATGTTATTTCTATAAACAGGATGTAATCAATATATCTGCTTGATGCATTGTGAAATCATGTAAAAAAATAAAGACACCCAATTTAATTGCAGGTTTGAAATTAAAAACAGTAGGGCACCGATTCTGATCTGTTTTATACTGGTTGCACTCTAGCTGCATTTACTTCACTGTAGCTACTGCAGAGTTGCAATGGATTGAGTTCAGAATCAGACCCTTCCGTTACTCTTTTGCACTGAAAAAAATATCATTTTTACATGCATCTGTGCTTTCTCCACTATCTGTAGTAGCGTGATACAATAAAAAGGAAAGGATGTGAGTAGCCATATCTTTACCATTTCATTACTATTAACGGTCACATTTAAATATGAGACAAAAATATTACTGTCTGGCTAAAATTAATATCTGGTACTGTACATTACTTTTCCTCCTGAAATACATATTCAATTGTGAAGTTCAGATAATTACCCAAAAGATGGCAGTGTTGCACTGCCGTAATGTTGTTATAATAGTCAGTTTTACAGCTGAGATAAGGAAAGCTATCATAGCAGTGACATTTCAGACACATATCTGAAATGTTTTCTTGAGGCCATCAAACTAGTTCCCCTTTATACTGCCTATTAGGGAGAAAAATTATACTAAATCAACCGTATAAGTCAATGCATAAATCGGTTCAATAAATGTACACTGCAAAATAAACAATCATATTGCTTCTAACAGTTGTCAACCAAAGAACGAAACAGCAGTTCAAAGATGATGAAAAATTGCAGTTACTAAAATGAAAAATTCCTGTTTTATATTTGAACACACACACTTGAATAAAATTATAGGAATACATGACTGTCAACCAGTAAATGAGTCGTCATTTGGTTTACACTAAGCATTTCCTTTGCATGGGTATTCTAGGTGTTTAATTTTTTAAGTATACAAGTGTTAGAAAATTGGATTGGTAAACAAGGGTCTATAAAACTTTTGTTTTTATGTACATTAAACAATTGTATCAATATAGTTAAATCTAGATGTGTGGTTTCTAATTTCACCAGTATGGGTGAAAAGGTATTTAGGGATCCATACTCATTTAGGCCCCAATTCAGCAAGGTACTTAAGCATGTGACTAACTTTATGTGCATGAGCAGTCCCATTGAAGTCAATGAGATTGCTCACACCCTTAAAGTGTTTAAATACCTTGGTGTATCATAGCCTGAATCACGGGTTGCTTGTTATTAAACAAACACGCCTCCCCTCCCATCAAAATGAAATATTTTTAAAATCTGGGCTGCTATACTAATCCTTTTAAATGTAATTGTTCTGTAAGGAATCTTTCTGCCCCATGAAGTGAAATATCAGAAGGGTAGCCGTGTTAGTCTGTATCCACAAAAACAACGAGGAGTCCGGTGGCACCTTAAAGACTAACAGATTTATTTGGGCATAAGCTTTCGTGGGTAAAAAACCCAGTTCTTCAGATGCATGGAGCGAAAATTACAGATGCAGGCATAAATATACTGACACAGGAAGAGAAGGGAGTTACCTGACAAGTGGATAACCAGTGTTGACAGGGCCAATTCAATCAGGGTGGATGTGGTCCACTCCCAATAATTGATGAGGAGGTGTCAATACCAAGAGAGGGAAAATTGCTTTTGTAGTGAGCTAGCCACTCCCAGTCCCTAGTCAAACCCAAATTAATGGTGTTAAATTTGCAAATGAATTGTAGCTCTGCAGTTTCTCTTTGAAGTCTATTTTTGAAGTTTTTTTGTTGAAGTATGGCTACTTTAAAATCTGTTATAGAATGTCCAGGGAGACTGAAGTGTTCTCCTACTGGCTTTTGTATGTTACCATTCCTGATGTCTGATTTGTGTCCATTTATTCTTTTACGTAGAGACTGTCCGGTTTGTCCAATGTACATGGCAGAGGGGCACTGTTGGCAGATGATGGCATATATCACATTAGTAGATGTGCAGGTGAATGAGCCCCTGATGGTGTGACTCATGTGGTTGGGTTCAGGGGTGGCTCCAGGCACCAGCGCACCAAGTGCGTGCCTGGGGCGGCAAGCCGCGGAGGGTGGCCTGCCGGTCGCCGTGAGGGCGGCAGTCAGGCGGCCTTCGGCGGCGTGCCTGCAGGAGGTCCGCTGGTCCCGCAGCTTCGGTGGCAGGTACGCTGAAGGCGCGGGACCGGCAGACCTCCCGCAGGCGTGCCGCCGAAAGCCGCCTGACTGCCGTGCTTGGGGCAGCAAAATACATAGAGATGCCCCTGGTTAGGTCCTCTGATGGTGTCGCTAGAGTAGATATGGGGACAGAGCAGGCAATGGGGTTTGTTACAGGGATTGGTTCCTGGGTTAGTGTTTCTGTGGTGTGGTGTGTAGTTGCTGGTGAGTATTTGCTTCAGGTTGGGGGGCTGTCTGTAAGTGAGGACTGGCCTGTCTCCCAAGGTCTGTGTGAGTGAGAGTTTTCATGAAGTGAAAGTAACTTTCATTGCCTCAACTTTAAACCAAGAACACAGAAGCAAAACCCCAATACCTAAGCCACTAAGCTATCCACTCTTTGTAAGTCAAAATACTTCAGTGAGTTAAATTGTGCTTCAGTATAAATTGCATTCTGTTGTATATTGTTCCATTTGAACACTAACTGAATAGTGCAGAATATTCTAGATCAGCCTGGTGTTACATGGAGGGAAGGACAGGCAGTAAGTAAGTAACTCTACATTGTGCTCCCCTTTTCCCTGAATACGTGCCAGCTCCTCAGTGTGAGCTCCACGTGGTCTGAGTTTTGTGGGTTCTTTTAGGGGAAGGAGTTGGAGTAGGCAAGGGGCATAGAGCAGGCATGACTCTCCACAGCTGGCTTCCCTTCTGATGTAAGTGGCAGTGATTTCTCTCTACAACTTCTATCCCTTCTGGAGTGGAAAAGGTCGGGGGCAGCAAGTGGGCATTGCAGAAATGTTGCTGTCAGGCCTTAGGGGCACCCCAGACAGAAGTGATGAAGATCACACCCTCAGGAGCTATGGAACTCACTTTTCCCTATGTACATTTCGTATCCACAGAGCTTGCCCGTAGTGCCCCTCTCTCCTTTCTAAGAGGCTATAAACCCATCTTTTCCTCTGAGGGGAACATGCAGCTCTAATTACCCAAGGGGAACATGCCAGAATTTTACAGGTGATTTTGCTCTTCCTCTGGGTTTTTCCGTGCAATGACAGCACAGGAGCCACTATCATTATGTTTATTAATTTTAAAAAATCACCTAAAATGAATGGTCTCTAAAAGTCACCAGAGGTAAATTAACCACATGAAAAACTACACAGCACAATACTGCTGAGACAACTTAACTGATGCAATAATTTAACAGAACTACAGTAAGTCACCTCTTTCCCTGTCACATGGCAAAGAACGCACTGTACTGCTTGCTTAGCAACTTCCACTGTGCTAATAAATCTTTAAACTATTGCAAATGTGATCATAGTCAAAGGACATGTTGATCTAGTAGGACTCACCAGTTAGCCACAGAATAAATGAACCAATATATAATTCTGACATTATATAATTGTTAAGGCTCATTTATTCTTCATCCAAAAATGAAAACTGCAAATGTTTCATAATGTAGGTGCTTCATTCACATAATTATTTTGGAAGTTCCTCGATACTTTGTCAAATCTTTTTTTTTAAACTTTTCCAGTATTTTTTTGTTAAACACAATACTGTACTAGATTTGCTTTTTTTGTCTCTGGTGCTTCCTGATTGCATACTTCCAGTTCCAAATGAGGTGTGTGGTTGATTGATCAATTCATAACTCTGAGGTTCTACTGTAGTTGATTTACAAATTCACCCAAAGCTAGAATATAAATCTTATTTTTTTGGAAATCCATTTTATGGAGCTTAAGAAGTTTTATTCTCACAGGAGCAAGCTATCCTAGAAACCCTACAAGGTAGTGAGGTCATACAGTTCTATGCAACAGAACTCATTACTTATCATTGTAAGTAAGTAAAACCACTTTTTGAAGTATGGCTTCAAAAGTAGCTTAGAAAATGGTTTGCTCAGAGCACTCAATGAACAATCTGGATGTACTCTTTTAGTAAGAAGGCGTCAAGTATGTATGGGCTATAGAATTTGAATGACTTTTCTTCCTTGAAATATATAGCAGCTAGTCCCATCTTCTGTTCCAAATAAAGAAAACATCTGGCAGGTCAGCAACAACCAGCAGTGCAAGTATGCCAGTATGCTCCGGTATGTCATACTAGCAAGCTATTTATAGCCGGTACGGAGTACCGGAAAGACACAGCAGCAACCCTGCCGGAGAAGAGGGCTGGGGGCGGGGCTAGAGGTTCTGCTC